ACCTTTAATCATTCTTGTTGCTCTTCTCTGTACCCTTTCCAATTTCTCCACCTCTTTCTTGAAATGTGGCGCCCAGAACTGGACACAGTACTCTAGCTGAGGCCTAACTAGTGCAGAGTAGAGCGGCAGAATGACTTCACGAGTTTTGCTTACAACACACCTGTTGATACAACCTAGAATCATATTTGCTTTTTTTGCAACAGCATCACACTGTTGACTCATATTCAACTTGTGGTCCACTATGACCCCTAGATCCCTTTCCGCCATGCTCCTTCCTAGACAGTCGCTTCCCATCTTGTATGTATGGAACTGATTGTTCCTTCCTAAGTGGAGCACTTTGCATTTGTCTTTATTAAACTTTATCCTATTTACCTCAGACCATTTCTCCAATTTTTCCTGGTCATTTTGATTTATGACCCTATCATCCTGATCTAGGAGACAAGAATATTTTTAGTATTTTAGGTTATGTGGTTTGTAAAATTACAACATTCCAATCTTACCCATTGCCTGCTTCCCCATAGCACACTGGTATGTGTTTCTTGGGGACTGGTTATGGTGAGGATATGGAATAAGCCCAGCACAGACGCCAAGAAGTGTGAAAGGTTCAATCTCCAAGTGTGTGGTGTCTCTTTAAAAAAAATAATAGAAAGAAAAAAAGTCTGATTAGAAAGCATCTGTAAACAGCCTAATGGCATAATTTTATTAAATTCCTTTTCACAAAGTCCGATAAATCATTTTAACTTGTTTTGTTACTATTAAAAAAAATGAAGTGAGTAAAATCTAAAAGCCTGAATGACAAATTCAAATAATTTTTTAATCAACATTTTAATTTGGCCTTTCATTGAGTCCATGTGCAGAGGCAGAGAAAGAACTGGAAGAGTAAAAAATTAAATGGACAAATAGAAGGAAAAAAAAGGAAGAGTAAATAGTGATCATAATAGATCTTAATTTTATATAAAACAGCAGTACTTAATATAAGCTACAAAATAAAAAGGGAGATCACATAAGAATGTCTCGAAAGAGAATTTTTAATTCCAGAGAAATATATTTTTTCATTTGCATCACACAGAACTGCCAAAACTACACTCCCACAAAGTGATGGGAAGTGAAGAATGAGCTTTTGATCTAACCCCCAACTTGGTGTTTGGCTTGGATGGGAAGATGGAGTGTCTAGGAAATGAATGCTCCCGTCAATTTTCCTTCATTTGATAGTATTGTTCCTTGCCTTTTAAGTTGATCCCTATTGATAATATCTGACCGTGTTTATAACATGTTGATTTACTGAAACTCTTTCAGGCATTGGAAAGATCTTATGGAGAGAACTGGCACTAGTTTTGAAATGACAACAGCAACTTTCACTTTGGAGAATATGTTTGCTATGGAGTTGCACAAACACTCAGATGTTATCAATGAGATAGTGGGATCTGCTGTTAAAGAACTTAGCATTGAGAAGGTGATGTTTTAAAAAATATCTAGCTTGTTTTGAAGACTCTTTTGACAACAGAAGTTTTTCTTTTCTTCATTGTTTTTGATCTTTCAATTTTATATTATTGAATGGTATTTAGTACAGTTATAAATGGTTTACCATTTGGGGGTCAAATAAGATTGCTGGCCATTTGTGTGATTCTTGTTTGGATTAGATGGGTTTTAAAATGTGAGTTTACTTTGAAAAGTGATTATAAAAGTGTCAAAGAGGTGTTCCATATTTATTGTCTATCAATGAGCTTAATTGGCACAAAAATCAGTTTACAAATAAAAATATTTTCTTTCTTAACGGTCAGCCCTGCACATTTGAACTGGATCTGATAATCAAGCTGGATTTTTTCCATTTTCTGCGTCATTGCCAGTAATATAGGTTTTGCAGGTCAGATTAGTCCTTCAGTGATACTAGTATAACTGCATAATTTTCACTAGAACAGAACTGGAGGTAACTAAGTAGATATCTTTGTTGATGATGCAATAGATGGTACCAAATCCATGTCTCTGAGCTGTGTTGGCACTATGGTGATAAAAAGCAGAAAAAAACTTATTTCTCTCATTGAGATTTGCAGATAAAATGTATAATGCACATGAAGAACAGATCTGATAGATACATTGTCCCTGTTTCAAGTAGATCTGTCCTTTAGAGCTAGAAAATTTGTGTGAAAGCCTTCTTAAATTAGTGATTTTCATTTTGATGTTAGAATGACTGTATTTTAGTTTTACAGGACTGAAACAGCCTTCTTTTCATGTTCACATGCAGGGTGTTAAGGATATAGTGGAAACTTGGGAGAACATGAAATTTACAGTCCAAAGATATTTCAAAGGCACTCAAGAGAGAGGCTTTATTTTGGGATCTGTTGATGAAATTACTCAGATTCTTGATGACAATGCTGTCAATCTTCAGAGTATCTCAGGCAGTCGATTTGTAGGTCCTTTTCTGTCAACTGTTCACCACTGGGAAAAAACTCTGTCTTTGATTGGTGAAGTTATTGAGGTAGGGAAGAAATTGAATGATTAATTTGTCCCTAGCTTTTGTTGTAATGATCAAGAATTTCTATAGCATGTGCTTCTTTGATAATAACACTTAACTCTTTTTCTAGGTCTGGATGGTGGTGCAGAGGAAATGGATGTACCTTGAGAGCATTTTTATTGGTGGGGATATAAGATCACAGCTTCCAGAGGAAGCAAAAAAATTTGACAATATAGACAGGATATTTAAAAAGGCAAGTAACTGACCTATTTTGTAATAGTTTGTGATTGAGAGAATTATGTGATATATTTTACTTTTAGCTCTTTATTTAACTGGAAGTCTTCATTTATAGATGTCAGTGCTCTAACATTTTTATTCTGGTAAAGCCTAACCACTTCTCTCTAGTGATGCTCCCAGCTGTTCAAACTGATTGTAAAAATGTCAATATGACAATGAGCTTACTTTACACAAAAATCAGCTTACCAAGTAAAAATATTTTCTTTCCTAATTGTCAGTTGTACACATTTATGCTTGGATGTAATAGTCCATCTGGATTCTTTCCATTTCTTGCATAAATGCCAGTAATAAAGGTTCTGCAACTGCAAATGCTTCACAGCTTATCTGTCTGAGGCATCATGCATACCTTACTACTGAGGAAATAGTAAATAATAATAAAAAGCCTGACAATTTATCCTATATTATTCCAGGATTGTTTCACACAGGAATTCTTACTCAAATTTGCTCCTCAGTTACTCCTTAGTAGTTCCTAAATGTTTTTTTATGTCCACAGATAATGGGTGACACTGTAAAAGACCCAGTGATAAAAAAATGCTGTGAAGCCCCAAATCGACTCAGTGACCTCCAGCAGATAAGTGATGGTCTAGAGAAATGTCAGAAAAGCTTGAATGATTATCTGGATTCAAAGCGGAATGCTTTCCCCCGATTTTTCTTTATATCAGATGATGAGTTGCTTAGCATTCTTGGTAGTAGTGACCCTCTCTGTGTTCAGGAACACATGATAAAGGTAAAACATCCTGTTCATGAGAGTGCCTGAGATGCATTGTGATGTTTAGGTGGAAGATTCTATACCGGGGTGGGCAATATTTTTTTTGCAAGGCAGGCCACTTCACAAATTTTGATAGGCAGTAGCAGGCCAGTAGGCAGAAGGGGTGGGGCCTCAGGTGGAAAGGGACATTTCCCTCTAGGCGCTCCTAGCAGGCCAGTTGGAACCTGAGCATGGGGGAGTACATGAAGTTATTTGCTGTTGAAAACAGCTGGTGACTCCCTATAGGCATTGAGTACCTCCGGCAGAGGGGTTGGGAAGCGCCAATGGCTTTGAAGAGCAAATTAATTCACATACTCCCATGCCACCAGGTCTCCATTGGTCTGGGGGTAACGGAGCAGCAGGGAGGGATCAAATGGCATGGTGGGCCAGATCTGGCATGTGGGCTGGATCTTGTCCACTCCTGTTCTATACTATATATATTATTAAGAGTGTACTAGTGTTTCTTTTAAACTAAACATGCTGTAATAGTAACATAGGAAACATAGGAATTGCCAGACGGAACTAGTCTAATGATCAATGCAGTACAGAATCCTGTGAGTGCCAATGCCTGCTTCAGAACAAAGTTCAAGATTCCTCATAGTGAACAACTTTGGAATACCCATAAGAACATAAGAACGTCCGTACTGGGTCAGACCAAAGGTCCTTCTAGCCCAGTATCCTGTCTGCCGACTGTGCCCCAGAGAGGGTGGACTGAAGACAATGATCAAGCAATTTGTCTCCTGCCATCCCTCTCCAGCCTCTGACAAACAGAGGCCAAGGACACCATTTTATCCCCTGGCTCATAGCCTTTTATGGCCCTAACCCCCAGGAAATTATCTAGCTTCTCTTTAAACTCTGTTATAGTCGTCCTAGCCTTCACAGCCTCCTCTGGCAAGGAGTTCCACAGGGTGACTACACGCTGTGTGAAGAAGAACTTTCTTTTATTAGTTTTAAACCTGCTACCCATTAATTTCATTTGGTGTCCTCTAGTTCTTCTATTTAGGGAACTAATAAATAACTTTTCGTTATCGGCCCTCTCCACACCACTCATGATTTTATAGACCTCTATCATATCCCCCCTCAGTCTCCTCTTCTCTAAACTGAAAAGTCCCAGTATGGGACCCGTTCCAAACCCCTAATCATTTTAGTTGCCATCTCTGTAATTCTTGGCAAATTATTTTTATTTTGTAAAAATCTTGGGTTAAATTCTATGCTTATTTATACTCTGTGCAATTAGATTCATGGGATATAAGTCAGTTCAAACTCTGGCTATCAGTATTAATGATATTCTATATTTGATTGTTTAGAGCCTGATTCTGAACTCTAAGGCTACGTCTAGGCTGCATCCCTCTGCTGACAGAGGGATGCAAATCAAGCACTTCAGAAGTGCAAATGAGCCTGGGATTTAAATATCCCAGGCTTAATTTGCATACTCACGTTCAGTCGCTGTTCGTAGCAGTGGTTCTGCAGCGTTTCTACCGATAGCGGGGGCTTTTCTGGCAGATCCTGTACTCCTCAAAAAATGAGGAGTACAGGAGCTGCTGAAAAAGCTCCTCGCTGTCGGCAGAGCTGCGGCTACACTTTACTTTCATTTTCGAAAGGGCGCGTGGTCGGCACAGCGCCAAAACATGAGTATGAACATGAAGCCTGGGATATTTATATCCCGGGCTTATTTGCACTTCCGAAGTGCTTGATTTGCATCCTTCTGTCGGCAGAGGGATGCAGTTTAGACACAGCCTCATAGCCTCATAGTTAAGTGAGGTCCCTAGATATTAGGAGCCTAGTGAAAATGGTACAGTATGTTCCTCTGCTGGCATGTTTCAGATGTATGATAATATAGCATCCCTGAGATTTGAAGAGGGTGATAGTGGTGAAAAAATAGCAACAGCCATGATTTCAGCTGAAGGAGAAGTGATGGAGTTCCGGCGGGCCATTGCAGCAGAAGGCCGAGTTGAGAACTGGATGACATCTGTTTTGGTTGAAATGAGAAGGACAAACAGACTCATTACTAAAGAAGCCATTTTTCACTGTGAAGATAGAAGCAGGTAACATAATCAAAGTGATAAAGATTACAATTGAAGTATAGTTTAAGTCTATATAAACCATAAAGAAAGTGTATAGACTTCTTTTTTAATTAAATATTGTTCCCTTCACTTACGCTGTATAATAAGTGTCCTTTAACATTGATTGTCACCTACTTTGGATGCACAGAGTTCTCAGTGCCCAGCATCTGAACAACTTTAACTCTGCCCTGGTAGTTCTGTGTATCCTTAAAAAGGTTTTTAAAATCTTGTTCTGTGTGTTTCAAGTGAATAACTGGAACTGTAATTTACAGCCTTGGTTATGTATTTGGGATTATTCTGTAGGCCAAGTTTTCTGACACTTCCAGTTGCTTTTCAATATAAAACATAATAATATTATGAACTTCCTTAGGAATCTGTTCACCAACTAGATACATGTCCTTTTAAACTAGTCCATTTGTAAATGAAATTATTTTTCTCAGGAGAAAAAGACTGGATAAGTATCTGGACGTGCTCATGCACTTTAATGATAGACACTATAGACATGCATAGATATATGCCTTCAAACTATAGTCAGAAAAATGAATAGATAAGATGGATGATAATATACTGTTGAATTTTTAAAGTATTTCTAATTCTGTGTTTATCTGAAGTTTCATGTCATACAAACTTTGTACAGATAGGAATAAAGTGTTAAGATTAAAGCTATGTGCTGAATGAGTATGGTTTATTTAGATTTACTGCTAGGAGAGAGTTATGGTTGCCTAGGTGCTACGCTGTGAACATTTTTCTGTTTGAACAGCTGTGTGCATAACTGTCAGTTAAGTTTTTTTCAGCGCTGTATATGTAACCAGAGCTTGTGATTTCCTTAGCTTTTAACGGTGTTAGGGTTGGTGATGTGTTTCTTTTCTTGCTATGAATTGCACTTAGTAACCTTTAACTACTAATTAATTTTGTTGTGGAGTATTTGATACTTTTACAGTATACTCTCTTATGTCTAAAAAGAGGGATTAATGTCACAGTTATTCCAGAAATTCAGAGTAGAATTATTCCTTCATATATATTATATCCATATTTTCCATATAGAGTTGACTGGATGTTGATGTTTGAAGGCATGATGGTGCTGGCTGCTAATCAGGTCTGGTGGACTTGGGAGGTGGAGGACGTTTTTCATAAAGTGAAGAAAGGAGAAAAGCAGGCAATGAAACTTTATGCCAAGAGAATGCATGAGCAGATTGATGCCTTGGTTACCCGAATCACAAAACCATTGAATAGAAATGACAGAAAAAAATATAATACTGTTCTCATCATAGATGTCCATGCCAGAGATATTGTTGATACATTTGTAAGAGACAGGTAATCCACCAACCCACTGAGATAATTTCAGGAAGTTTGTATTCTGTACTCACAATCTTTTGCTTCATCTGAAAAACTTTCTTTTCTATAGTATCATGGAAGCTCGAGAGTTTGAATGGGAAAGTCAGCTGCGTTTTTACTGGGATCGAGAGCCGGATGACCTGAATGTGCGACAGTGCACTGGCACCTTTTCCTATGGTTATGAATATATGGGCTTGAATGGAAGATTAGTTATTACTCCCCTTACAGATCGTATCTATCTAACGCTCACACAGGTATATGCTAAAAGGCTTTTTTCATTTATTATTTTGATGAACTGTATTTCCCCTTTCTGTTTCCCGAATTGATCATGTTTAGATAATTATATATTTAAACTCAATTAAAATCTTATGTGATTGGAAATTTTTAATTACTGTGCAAAAGACTAAATCTGCTTCAAGGCTGGTTGTTTCAACGATACCTTAATCATCTTGTTAATAGCTTAGTTAGAATAGATTTTTAAATTCCCACATGAACATAAACCAACGATTGCATTAGAGGCTTTGTAGTGGATACATAATGATTCTGTCACTGAAAATGGTGTAAACAGGTTGGGGCAGGAACTGTCTTTTTTCTGTGTTTGTACAGCACCTAGCACAATGGGTCCTAGTCTATCATTAGGTCTTTGAGGGCATGTCTACACTATGGAGAAGATTAGCACTCCAGAGATTGATCTTCTAGCATTCAGTTTAGCAAGGCTAGTGTAGAGCCCCAAATTGAACACTGATGGCAGCCCCCTCCTGTGTCCTGTACTCCTCATTCTGCCAGGAGTAAGGGAAGCTGACAGGAGCATGTGCTCCCATTTGCTACCCACAGTATAGATGCTGCTGCGGCTCAGTTTAAGGTAATCCGAATCTAGCTATGCATTTTATATAGCTGGATAGCGTACGTTAAGCCCACCTTACCTGGTTCAGTATAGACCAGGCCTGAGTCACTACTGCAATACAAATAAGAAATAATGATAAGTCATAAAGAGTACAAGGTTTGTGCTGAGCATTGAGTCAGGAGATCTGGGGTTCTAGTCCCCGATCAGCCACTGACTTATTCTGTGGCACTAGGTATATCACTTAAGCTTGTTGTGCCTTGGCTTTCTGTTATGTAAAATGGGGATAATGCCCATCTTTTAGATTCTAGGTTAAAAGGAATTGCAAACATACAAAGGCACTGTGATTATTATTTGTTTTAAAATCATGGCTGAAAGGTGATCATTTTTAAAGGGTTTATTACAGTGACAGTTGAACCCATTCTTAAGATTTCCAGTTCCTCTGCTGCGGGTTGCCAAAGCTCCTGTCTCAGTTTTGATCTTCTGTTCTGCGTGATCCTCTGCTGATTTTCCTCTGCTTATGTATCAGTCTTTGCTGGAGAGGCTGTGGGGGTGCATGCCCCAACAAGCCTGGGGACAAGGCGTGTGTGGGGCCTGATTCTGTGCCTCTGGAAGGGGTGGAGGCACGGGTGGAAGGGGTGGGACCAAGGGCAGTCAACTCTTAGCACCACCGGGAGTGTCATGAATCATGGGTAGTGTGAATGGTTCGCATGAGTGGATTAACAGTGAGCTGAAGAGAGGCCATACTAGGGTCCGAGTCGGTGCCCTGATGGATTATGGACTTGTTTATCACTCTGAGAAAAAAAGACTGTGTGTGCTGAGGAAGAAAAACTGCATAAAAGGAGGCAAATAAGAGGAGTCGTTGAGTGAGAAACTCAACCGAAGACCTTCCGATGCTTATTGCACGTGGCTAAGCAAGCAGAATTGGGTGTTGTAAGCAGGATGTTCCAAGATCAGTCGTAAGCACACCCGCAGGTGGTGCAATCAACGTACGTCATCTCACCCAAACTGCCCCTCGCTGAGGGGATATATACCCCACCAATTTGCTGCATGAGTGGGAGTCCATCAATTCAGCATATTGGGGTGATGTTCATGTCAGACTTCTGCCTAAGTCAACCAACCAACATTACCTGGGGTTTGACCAGCACCAGGGTGAGTGGTGTGTGTGAATGTGCTTGTGTGAGTGTTTATCAAAATTGGGTTAAGAATTAGACTAACTACTCAGATTGAACATTGCTTTTGAACTGCTTCTGAATTGCTTACAATAATGTTTGTTAAAGGCATATTTTGTCTGCTGTGAATTCATTGTTCCCAGCCTGGTGCATGGGACTGTTGTCAGTTTGATCACCTGTGCAACAGCGCCCCCTTGTGACAGTAGTGCAGTGTTGGCTCCCTTTCCAGCCCTTAAAGCTGAACAGCGTGCCCAACATGGTGCTGTGGTGGCAATTCAAAGGGGACCCATGTTCTGGTCCAGGCTCTGGCTGGAAGTTCTGGGCCCTTTTGAAATACCAGGACCTGGGGCAATTCCCCCTTTGCCTCCTCTCCCCACATTGGTGCGCGTAGTAAGAGCTGACTGGGAGGAACCAGAGCTGGAAAGGCTAGGGGAGAGACACTCTGGCAGCTGTGGGAGATGAAGGGAGAGCACGAAGGGAGAGCGCAAAAGGAGATGAAGCAGAAATAAATAATTACATTCATGAGTATGATACAATTTCTGATAGATCTGCTCCTCTTAACTAGTTTATTTGCTAAACACCCCAAGTGTGTGTTTGTGTGTGTGCGTGTAGCTCTTTTTTATTGATCAACATGATGACATTTTTGACAATCTTTGATGGAAGCCTTTGAGCTGAATTGCAGTGAGTTACCTTCCCCAAATCCATCCTTGCTTGCTTTTTGTATTTTCTTTCCAAAGGCTCTATCTATGTTTTTGGGAGGAGCACCTGCAGGGCCAGCAGGTACAGGGAAAACAGAGACAACCAAGGATCTGGCCAAAGCCCTGGGCTTGCTGTGTGTTGTAACAAACTGCGGTGAAGGCATGGATTTCAAGGTAAGAGTTAGAAGGCTGTATTCTCTGGTAACAGGATACTATTGTACCATTATGTATAAAGGCCAGTTTAGATGACTTGCCTTTAATTTTTGAAGAAGACCTCTTCTAATTACAAACAAAGCTCATGCAATTGAAAACGAAATACAGTTTAAAATGTTGTTCCTTGTTTAAATTGCTGAGGTGGCTGGAACTAAGGAGTCTGGGTATGCTTTATAACAATGACAATCAGTGACTAGATAAGATTCTAAGATCATTGTGGATTGACGGCATAGAATTAATAAGCCTAAATGGAAGACAGACACAAGTAGGCTATGTCTACAGTGCAGGTTCCTTGCGCAAGAACTGTTTTGCGCAAGAGTTCTTGCACGAAAGGTCTTGCGCAAGTGCGCGTTCCCACTGCCATGTCCTTTTGAGTAAGAGCATCCATGGCAGTGTGGAAGCTCTCTTGTTCAAGAAAGCTTTGATGGCCATTTTAGCCATAGGGGTTTCTTGCACAAGAAATCCCTGTTGCCCGTACACACTGCCTTCTTGAGCAAGAGAGCTTATTCCTTGTGGGGAGAGGAATAACTCTTGCGCAAGAAGCCCTCTCTTCTGATGCTTTTCTGTAAATTTACTTGCGCAAGAACACGTGTGCAGTGTAGACGCTCTGCAAGTTTTTGCACAAGAATGGCGCACAAGGAGAATGCAATATAGACGTAGGCATAGGGTTTGTTAAGTCCTTTACTATATGCCGAAATGTGCTTCCGCTGAATATTTTTTGTTTTTCGGGTGTTTCCATTTTGTTTTCAGGCAGTTGGTAAAATATTTTCCGGTCTTGCCCAATGCGGGGCATGGGGATGCTTTGACGAATTTAATCGCATAGATGCTTCAGTACTTTCAGTCATCTCTTCTCAGATCCAGACAATTCGAAATGCTCTAATGAATCAATTGAAAACATTTCAGGTAAACACACACACACAATTGAGAAAGTAGTCAAGTTTTGTATTTAAGGCATGGGATTCTGGGAAGCTGTCATAAGATGCAGTTTAATTAACCTAAACATTTAACTCTTGAGTCTTATGAATTAGGTACTTAAGTGACTGCCTTACCATGAACTTAAGTGGCCTCAATTTCAGAAATGATGAGCACTCCCTTTAACCACTCCCTTCCTCTATTTCCCCATTTGCAAAATGGGAATAATAACTCACATACCTACCTGACAAAGGGGCTGTGTGGTTTAATATATTATTTATTGTAAAGTTTTGACATCCTCAGGTAGAAGGTACATTAGGCAAGGACAAAGTATTTTTGCCATTTTTTCTTTTTAATTCAGAGTCAGGATAGTCTGACATTTGTTTTCATTTTAGTTTGAAGGGCAAGAAATTTCTCTAGATCCACGAATGGGCATTTTTATCACCATGAATCCTGGGTATGCGGGCCGTACTGAACTCCCTGAGTCTGTAAAAGCTTTATTCAGGCCTGTGGTTGTGATTGTGCCAGATCTCCAGCAAATCTGTGAAATCAGCCTCTTTTCTGAAGGAGTGTGGATTGGGACTTCTTTTTTATAATACTGTTTATTCACTCTCAAATAGGCCCTTGCTAAAAAGATGACAGTGTTATACAAATTGGCAAGAGAGCAACTTTCAAAACAGCATCATTATGATTTTGGACTGCGTGCTCTCAAGTCAGTACTAGTGATGGCTGGAGAACTGAAGAGAGGATCACCAGATCTTCACGAGGTAGACATTCTGTGTTCAGCTGAGGAACTGCCCTGATATGGTTGGTGTAAATTCTCATAGGATCTTTGAAATTATCATTTTCTGAGGATCTGACCCACTGTATGCAGCAGTTTGTTGATGCTTCGTTGTAGTGAGTGCCGTTTTCATATCTGCTACAGCAGTGGTCCCCAACCTTTCAAGGTTGCCGGGCGCCAGGGGGCGGGGCCGTTCGCCTGCTGGGCGCCAGGGGGCAGGGACACTTGCGCCCCAGGGGCGGCCCCCCCCATAGCCGCATGCCCGGGGGCGGCCCCCCCCATAGCCGCATGCCCGGAGCGGCGCTCC